GATTCAAATGCATATATTAAATAGTTTACCGAAGTTTTGCCAGACCTCGGAGCTAGGAACATTCAAGCAAGTGGCTGCCTTTTTTGCCTGCCTGGCAAGCAAATGCCCCCCAGACCCAGATACAGCCGATTTCCTCCTTGGAAACTAAAGGGTTCTCTACCATTCCTAGCAGTGGAACACTTGATGGACATACCAGACCCACACTTCAGTGAAAACCTGACTGCTGAGTGACACAGAGTGTAGCAAATCCTAAGTATAAAGTACAGTCTGAGGAGCATGGTTTCCTTTGCCATCACCCACGTGAGGTAGGACACACCCCCAAGGACCAGGGATGTGCTTCCCACAGGTCGTGGGCTTCAGCAAGCAGCTACTGCACATCTGGTTGGCAAAACATGAATGGGTTACAAGTAATTCCTACAGCTGGGATGGGAATATTTTTAGACATTGAAAGAGGCATTCTTAGGGATCATGGCTACTCTTTATGGCGAGCCTTCTCGGTGGGACATACTGTGTGAGATACTTGGCCTATGTTGTCTCATATAATCACTGTTTAACAAGAATATCGACAAGTGGAGAGAGTAAGATTCTGAATATTGAGTGCATCAGATTCCTACTGAAGCTCTTCATAAAGATTTCCAAACTTCTAGTGTGCACAGGACACTCCTGAAGATGCTATAGAAATGCAGATTCTGATTCAACAGTTCTATGGTGAGAGCTGTGATCCTGCATTTCTAGCAAGCTCCTTGAGGATGTAGTTCAGTGATGGCAAACGTTCTAGAGTACCGTAGTTTTGTTCTAGATGAACAAATTGCAACCCCAAACCCACCTATTTATCACAAAGTGCCAGCCCTGCAGCTAAACCTGAATACCGAGGTTTCAGTTAAGAAAAAACAATTCCTACATTAGCATCTTTTGTCTTACAAAAAAAAAAACAAAACAGTAACATGAGTGCCATAGGCTCACCACCATTGATGTGGCCCATACTTCATGAAGCAAGAATCTGGTGCTCTTCAAAACTTTTTGTAAAAATAATTACTTAACAATTCCTCCACTTTGGCTACCATTTCTATAGGGCCTTCTCCCTTTGGTAGAGTTTATTCCCATGAGCAGAGATTCTCACTGCGTGTATTAAATGTTAGCAGTTTGCTCAGCAAGCATTGCTCTGTCCGTTTATTCAATCCCCACATCTTTGTTGGGTTCCTGCTGGGAGCTGGATGCAGTGGCAGCTAGAGGGGATCAGGATAAGTGCTACAAAAGAGGCTCCAGAGAGCAGCCTTAGCCCTTCCACCCTGTGTGGACACAGCTACACATCACCCACTTTGAGCCAGGAAATGCTCTCGTCAGACAGTGACTCTTCAGAGCCTGGATCTCGGACTTCCCAGCTTCTAGAAGTGTGAGAAGTAAGATTCTGTTGTTTATAAGCCACGTGACATACAGTACTTCGTTATAGCGACTCGAGCACACAAACATACATGAAGTAAACAACAAATACAGCAAATGTTTAGATTTTAAAAATGCACCACAGGGCCAGGGATATAGCTCAGTGGCACAGCCCCTGCCTGGCAAGCGTGAGGTCATGAGTTTGATTCCTAGTACCAAAACATTTTTTTTAATTAAATAAATAAAAATGTGCTACAGTGAAAGACACATTGTGATTAATCACCCTTAAAATATATATTCTAGATATTGGTCCTTTGTCTGAGGAACCCTCAAAAAAAATTTTCACTGTGGATTTTCTCTTCACTGTTGGTGATTTATTTTGCTGTGCAAAAGCTTTTCAACAGATGAGATCTTAGTTGTTCTTTGTGATAGCTCCTGTGTGATTGGGGTTTTGTTCATGAAGTCTTTGCCTACGATAGTATCTTCAAGAGTTCTACCTATTCTATTTTCCAGCAGATTTAGTGTTTCTGTTTTAATGTTTAGATATTTGATCTATTTCAATTTTAGTTTAGTACATGATGAAAGATACGGGTTTAGTTTTAATCTTTGGCATGTGGGATGCCAGTTTTTCCAGCACCATTTATTAAAGAAACTATCTTTCTTCTAGTAAAAGTGTTTGGCTCCTTTGTCAAAGATAAGTTGGCTAAATATGTTTGGCGTTGTTCCTACATCTTTTAATCTGTCCCACTGATTCTCAGGTCATTTTGTTATTGCTGTTGTTGTTGTTTACCTGAGTGGCATGCTGGGTTTTTCTTTTCCATAATAGCTCTGTAGTATAATTTCAAGTCAGCGATTATGATGGCTCCTGCCTTGCCTTTGTTGCTTTTGCTATTTTAGATCTCTTTTGGTTCCAAATGAATTTTAACACTGTTTTCTCTAATTCTGTGAGATATGCTATTGGTAATTTAATTGGGATTGCATTAAATTTGTATAACAATTTTGGAAGTATGAGCATTTTCACTATATTGGGTCTTCCTACCCAAGAACAAGAGATAGCTTTCCATTTTCTGATATCCTCTTCGATCTCCTTTTTTGGAGTACTGTAGTTTTAAATACAAAGATCTTTTACATCCTTTGTTCGACTGATTCCTGGGTATTTCATTTTTGGGGGTCCTATCGTGAAAAGTGTTATTTCCCTAGTTTCTCAGTGAGTTTTTTGTTTATGTATAGGAATGCTATTCATTTTTGAGCATTGACTTTGTATACAGCTATAATACTGAATTCGGTTATTAAATCCAGAAGTCTTTTGGTGGAGTTTTGGGGTCTTCTATATAGAGTACCAAGTCATCTGTGAATAATGATAATTACTAAGTATTTCTTAATTTGAACCCTTGATTCCATCTTTCGTATAACTTGCTGGAGCAGTTCTATAAATCATCTTTCATGAGTGTCTTTACAAGATCTGTTTAAAACTACAGCGACTACTGCTGTGTGCACCACCCAGTGGGAAAGCAGGTTTGTAAAAACACTGCAGTGTGACCTTATCCACTATTCACCAGATCTGGCACCATGGGGTGCCCACTTCTTCCTTAAAGTCAAAATGACCATGAAAAGTAAACTTATAAATTGATTCCGGACATCAAGGCAGCCACCACAGTGACACTAAGAGGGGCAGCCAGTGCACCTCATATTTCATCCAGCAGGAAGGCTAAAGTTAAGGCATTCGATGGCTACAGCTTCTTACAAGTGAATAAAAACCCACAGACAACTTCTTCCCTCTAGCAAATGCCGTTCTGTTAGCCCTATTCTTACGGCATGGCTGATAAGGCAGGGGGTAGGCACGAGGCTGGAGGAGTACTAAAAGATGCAGAATCCGCAGTTCTGTTGGCTGACTTGCATCCATGCGCTTCCTTGGGAACTGGCTCCTGCAGTCAGCACACGCCAGCCTTCTCCAGAAACACAGTTTCATCCTCATCACAAACTGCCTGTGGCCTCATGTCTCAGTCACTTTCCTCATTGCCAAGACACAGTAACTGACAGTTGCAACTTGTAGGAGAGAGGTTTATTTAGAATCGTGGATTTAGAGAGATGAACTCCACTGAGGGTGAAGCAATGGGCTCATCCATGGGTCATCTGTTCTACTCACTGTCCAAGGTAAGATGGGGCCGAGAGTGGGTAGTGGGGACAAACAGCCCTAAAAGGTTTGCAGAACGATGACATCATCACACTCTCCCTTTGAAAATTTGCCATGCTGGGGGAAATTTCTATGGTAGAAGTAGTTTTGAGTGGCAGTGAGTTTGGGTGCTGAGGCTGAAGAAGGATAAAGCCCGATGCCTCCACTGGGTACTTGTAGGGAAGGACAGAGTCCTTGAGGCTTGGTTAGAGCAGCCACCCTCAAGCATTTCCATTACCTGTCATTAGAAAGCTCCTGGCTTTACCTAAGTAGTCTTTCTTTATCCCTGGGCACTCACCGAAGACTAATCACATACACACTTGACACAGAAGCCCAGAGAAGATTAGTAACTTCTTGGTTAAAATTTTATTCCATTTTCTTTATGGAGGCCAAGGTACAGTCTCACCATCTGATTGTGAAAAATATCTATATTCTACCAAAAACCAGGAGTAATTTTTAACGTGGGAAGCCCACAGCTGGTGACAGATTTGTAAGTACATCACATTTTCAGAAAGGGGAGGCTCACAGTGCTTCCTAGAATGACAGGAAAGCAAGGAACGGCTGTTCCCCTGGCAGTACCCTGAGACAAGAGAGTGCCCTTTTCTTTTTAACACCCTTTTTACAATACAGGAATAGAGTTTGAAATATACACGAAGATGATAACATGCTCATCCATTAAACAAACAAGAAACAAAGCGAAATAAACAAAAGAGAAAGTTTATAGCATTTTCCTTAACTACTTAAAAAATTTCTTCCTCTGTTATTTTATCACTAAATGTGATTTTTTAAAAAAAAGACAGAAGTCCCTCTAAAAATAGAATCCCTTCCCTTACTCATTAATAGCTTTCTTATCATAAGCTTCTCTTGCTCTAGGGGAAAATATCTATATCTGTACAATCTATGTATATATTGGATGGCCTGAGGGACTATAGAAATTTAGGATAAAATATGATTTGCTAAAAGGAGAGAAGGAGGAAGAGGAGGAGGATGAAGGAGGAGGAGGAGGAGGAGGAAGAGGAAGAAGAAGAAGAAGAAGAAGAAGAAGAAGAAGAAGAAGAAGAAGAAGAAGAAGAAGAAGAAGAAGAAAGAATCAATGAAAGATTTTCCAGCATAAGATATATGATCCATCAAGATTCCTCTATGACTCAAAGCAAATTGGAATCAGCTTCTGAAACAGTCCAGTTGCTGTGACCCTTTTCTGAGTCTTTTTTTCACATTATGTATTTCTAAGATGCCATTAGATTATTCTTAACTTTCTTTTTCCCCAGTAAAGTCAATGACAGTTCTCTCAGCCGACCTCACACACCCATCCATCCCAGGTGAGCTCTGGCCCTTGAAGCAGACACAGTCTTGCTAAGAGTGAAAAGAAGACTCTAAACAGCTTCCTCAGCACAACTGGGGGGCAAGGGAACAGTGCACTGCCACCCATACAAAGCATCACACTTACCTTCTACTTTGAAGATGGTGAAATGCGGCCGGCAGTGGAAAGAACCCAGTGCGTTCCCCGCGCAGTTCATCCACAGCCCCTGGTAAACCCACGTGGCCGTGATCACCGATGATGCTCGCGTGGTCACTTTCCACTCATTGGACGTGGTGGCAGCCACCAGAGCGCCGAATCCTCCTACACCAAGCACCAGAGCTGAGATCTGTGCCGTGGACATGTCGCTGAGCTTCTGTGGTGTGGCTGTCCTGATGGAAAGGTTAAGCCTGCAGCCAGCAAGTGACGCTTTGACAGATGTTATCGCCAGCCCATGTGGCCAGGTGACAATTTTGCATCTTCAGATGGCTTGAAGAAGCCCAAGAATTTAAGATAAAAAATGGTTTACCAATGACATTTTAAAGATAAACTAAAACAATCTGATTTCCTGCATAGCTGTTTAGTGAAATTTTGAGGGTGAATTTCAAAGGTTTTGATGCTGCAGCTTTTTTTTTAACTTGCCACCAAAGTTAATGCTTAATTTTCTGTTAGCCTGAAGCTTAACAAACCATGCAACTACTAGATATTACAAAGTACAAATTATACAGTAACACCTGAGGTATCTTTTATTTTGCATGTTTTTGAATCTTTACATAAATGGAATCATATCATAGGCATTCTTCCAGCACACTTTTTAACATAATACTGCTTGTAAAAATTATTCATGACCATGAATTAGTGGTCATTCATTAAGTATTACAGATGGAGATATTATTTGCTTAAATACCTAGACTACAATTTTTATTTTTTTAGCCATTTTCCTGAAGGCCAACATTTGTGTTGTTCTCTTTTCTTCCCTAATGGTAATTGTTACACTTGTAAACATTCTCATGCAGTTGACTTGTCACACAAGTGTTACTCCTGGAAGCAGAATTCCTACAATATAGGAAACACTCATCCTTAACTTGATAGGTAATGTTAAATTGCTTCGCAACTAGGTATAACAAGTTGTACTAGCAGAAAGTGGGTCCTCAGTATGTCTTAGTTACTTGTTACTCGTTGCTGAGACAAAACACCTGAAGCCCAAAGTTGGGATAGGAAAGGTTTATTTCTTACAGTTTTTGGAGGTTTCAGTCCATACTCAGTTGTCTCCAAGACAGGGTGGCATGGTGGTGCCGCAGTTCATGGCAGCTCCAAAACAACAAGGCAGAAACCAGTAAGACAGTAAGACACCCTCTTCCTGCCATTACATCACATCCTGGCTCCACTCCTAGGTGGGTGTAGCACTGACATCATCAATCCAAGCACTGTACAATGAAGCAGTCACAAATGCATAATGCAAATGCATGAAGCCTGGGGGCCACCAACATAAACCATGACAGTATCCCAGTTCATAATAATTGGTAATGGAGGCTTGTCAGAACTAATACCCACCCCTGGACACTTGATCGGTTTAAAGGTATCACACTAGGATTATTTTTTTTTTTAAGATTAAAAAGACACAAAAAGAAAAACAAAAAGCAGAACAGACAGACAACAACAAGAAACCAAATCAATAACAGTATAGGTTTGCAAAACAAGATGACAGGAATTTGACAATGGTTGTAATATTGTATATTGTTACCTTCAAGAGGGTTGCTTAGATTAACAGATACAAACATATAAAATGGATCTAAACATGTGAGTATTAACTGTTATTTTACAATTTCTAATACAATTAGTACTATAGGCATTTTAGCTATCATATATATATACAAATTTATGTCACACTAGGATTTTTTTTTTTGTGGTACCAGGGATCAAACTCATGACCTCATGCTTGCCAGGCAGGTGCTTATGCTGTTGAACTGAATCCCCAGCCCCACACTAGGATTATTAATATAGATTCATGATTACTAATTAAATCGAGCAGCTTTTCTGTACTTATTAGCCGAGTGTCTATCTACAATGAAATCTGAATCTTTTGCTCATTTTTCTGTTGCGATATTTGCTTTATAATTTATTTTTGGTGCTACATATATATTTGGGACAGTAATCTATTTTTACTTTGTTTTGTGCTTCAGCTTGAACCACAGTCTTGTACACACCAGGCAAGTGCTCTACCCCGAGGTACCTTCCCAGCCCAGGGAAGTGATTTTTGCTGATTATTTTGGCTGCGGATGTCATTCCTGGTTTTGGGTTTACTTTTACCTGGCCACATGATAAGACTCTTTATTTCACTGTAATCAAATTTATTAAGCTTTTATTAAGTTATCTGTGCATTTAAGATCTTGTTTTTTGTTTTTTTTGTTTTTTTTGTTTTTTTTGTTTTTTTTTTATCGGTACCAGGGATCGAACTCATGACCGCCTGCTTGCAAGGCAGGCGCTTATGCCGCTGAGCTAAATCCCCAGCCCCGCATTTAAGATCTTGATTAAGAACTCTTCCCTGCTGCTGGATGTGGTGGCGCATGCCTGTAATCCCAGCACTTGGGAGGCTGAGGCAGGAGAATTGTTACAAATTTGAGACCAGCCTGGGCTACAAAGTGAGCTCAAGCCAGGCCTGAACTACACAGGAAGACCCTGACTCAAAAGATTTTTTTTAAAAAACCCTGTTTCCCCAAAGCTAGGCATATACCTGTAATCCCAGCACTCAGGAGGCTGAGGCAGGAGGATCGTTGCAAATTCCAGACCAATCTGGGCTACAAAGTAAGCTTTGGACCACCCTGAAGTGCATAGGGAGACCCTGCCTCAACAAGACCACAAAAAAAAGAAAGAAAGAAAGAAGAAGGAGAAGGAGAAGGAGAAGAAGAAGAAGAAGAAGAAGAAGAAGAAGAAGAAGAAGAAGAAGAAGAAGAAGAAGAAGAAGAGAACTCTTCTCCCCAGGACAACACTTGTTTGCACTTTATATTTATTCTTTCATTCATTTCTTTAGGGCTGTGATGGAGTCCAGGGCTTCACACACGCTAGCTAAGTGCTCCACCAACTGAGCTGAGCTACACTTCCGCTTCTAGAAATTTTGAAGGAGTTCAGAAAGTACCAAGGAATAATAGGGAACTTTGGAATGCTGAGTACATTACACGAGGGTTCTTGGGAAGCAGAAAGACAGGGAGGCCCTCTCTGAACTTCCTTTATCTGTGCAAAGACAGAGCCCCCACAGGGAAGGCAGTTGTCACCAGAGGCTCATCACCCAAGGACCATGCAGCACCTACCTCTGGAGAGGGCGTGGGGGCCTGACACCACGCCAAGCTCTACCACAGGCAGCCACTACTGTCCCCAGGGCCCATCCATGTTCTCTCACCATCGTTTGCCCTCCCCCGGTTTCCATATCCCCCGTGCAGGAGTTCCACACCTTCCGCAGCTCACTGAGTTTGGAGGTCCTCCCTCTTTTTTCATCTGATGTCCCATGCCCGTAAGAAATTTCCTCTTGTTAATTTGCCCAGTTAGTTTATTTCATAGACTCAATTACCAAAGCCTCCAAGAGGTGGAGAGACTCTGCCTCTCTCTACAGTTCCAAAGCTTCCGGGCTCACATTTGAGTTTTTGAATTATTTTTTTCTGTTATATGGTTTGAAACATATTTCATATTTCAATGTTACAGCATTGTAACATTTTTATTGAATAGTCCCTTGTTTTCCCATCGATTTTCAGTATCACTTCTGACATATCAGGCATCAATATTTGCACAGTCTGGTGTAGAATTCTCTGTTGTGTTCTATCTGCTTGATTGCTTTTAGCTCAATAAAACACTTTCTTAGTTACTGTAATTTTATAAACATATCTTGAAATCTTGGTGAACATCTTGTCTTGCTCTTCTTTTTGAATGTCTGAGATTTTTTTTTAGAAAAAGTCTCTTTGCTATTTCATATACATTTAGAATTAGCCTATTAATATATATATATATATATATATATATATATATATATATATATATGCTTGACAAGTCTTAATTTTTTGGATTGCATCTACTGATTAATTTGAAGAAGAAAATGGCTAACTACAAAATCAGGCTTTCCTGTTCATGAACAAAGTATATCTCTTCACTTATTTAATCCATCTTTAAAGTCTTTTGCTAAAGTTACACGCTTTAATTCTCTGGTAGTCATGCTGCTTACAGCTACATTTATTCTTAAAGTTAAGACTCATTCTAGCAACTATTTTATAATTTGTCTCATATTTTTGTATGTAGGTTATCTTTTTTATGTGCTTTGTGAGCTGAGATTTTTTTCCTTCATGTGCCAATTTTTTCTCTTAAATTGGAAACCACAAATTATTTACATACCTTGATAGTTACTGTAGAAATTTTAATGCTGTTGGGCATAGTGCATGTCTGTAATTGCAGCACTTGGAAGGCTGAAGCAGGAGAATTCCTGTGAGTTCAAGGCCAATCTAGGTTAAAGAGTGAGTTCAAGGCTAACCCTAGCAAGACTCTATCTCAAAAAAAAAGAAAGAAATTTTAATGCATATTTGATTTCATATGTAAATTAATCAGTGTCATTATTCTTGTGAACCATTTAAGGATCTTAAAATGCTTTAACAATAATAACACATTTTTCTTGTCTATGTTATTGCTTTATTACTATTTTAGTTTTTGTCCTGACAAATTGTGTTTTTGACTCTACAAATAGCCCCGTGGGTATTATTACTGTGTATGTCATTTTTTACCTTCTTTCCTCATTCCATTTTACAGTTGGTACTTTTTCATGGGTTTTTCTTTTTCCTAAAGTTCAACCTTGAGAATTGTATTTTTAGACAGAAACCATGGGTAGTTACTTCTCTTGGTTTTTATTTGTGATTATTGGATAATATCTTTATCTCGTGTTTATTTTTGGTAGGCAGTTTTGTTGAGTATTGACAAAAATTCTCTCTTTGATTAAACTCTACTCAACTCCATTGATTCTTACTTCAAGATAACTCAACTTTTGGACGGCTACGTTTGTCCCTGCCCTGTTAGCCATATAAGCAAGTGTTAAGTCCGTTTCACCAAAACCCTCGTCCTTGGCCGATGATCACCCTTGATGTTCGTTTCAGTCCCTCATCCTCCATCATTCTAAGCAGTGTGTGGTCCGCCTTTCAGTGAGACTCCTGGCTGGGGCCTTTAGACAGGATCATCCCTAACCCCTGAGGTTTTGTTTTAATAACTTTCTACCATTGAGCTCCACCCTGATTCTTGACTCCAAATCTTCCCAAGATCAACTACATTTGAACCTGAGCCCCATTTCTCTCCCCTGTTGCAAATCCCCTTGCAGTAGTGCCTACCGCAAAGTCCCCAACACACACACACACACACACACACACACACACACACACACACAAATAAAAGTCTTATCATTTTGAACAGCTGCCACTGAATAACTTTCTTCTTGAACAGGATAAAGTTATTTTGATTCAGTGCTTTGAAGACTTAGTTCTTTCGCGTTTCCATTGTTGCCCTGTAGCTGCTGAGAAGTCAACCACTAGAGATGTCATTTCTTTGTGGGTTAATCTG